GAGCTGGGTCTTATGCATGTTTGTGACTGAATCACCAAATGACAGAGATGACTGTCCATCCTGACCCCCTACAAGCTCAGGGATTGGCGTGGCCCCCCAGAAGGCACTGTCAAGCCACACCAGAGCTGGGTGGAGACTACCAGGATGGCCTCCCATCTCTGCGGGTGGGCAGGGATGTTGCTCAGCTTCAATGTGACCACAAAGTGGCCCCAAGCTCCCAAACCAGGCCTGAGATGAGATGAGCTGTAGCTGAGGTCTGGCAGCCTCCTGCTCTGGCTTCCCCTTCAACAGGAGCCTGGCGCGTCATTAATCAGATAGTCCCTGTGAAATCAATTAAGAGCCTGACACTGCACTGTGAAAGAAGTGGATCAGGGTTTAGGGACCCTGAACACATGGTTCCCACCAGGACGGAGCACAGTTGCTCCTGTGGGGCTTAAAGCACCATCTTGGCCTAGCTCTAGGGATCACTGGCAGGCCCATCTCCTCCCTGGGGGGCTCAGTTACCTTCGGGGAGCGCTATCAGCAAGTAGGACACAGATTAGGAGCAGGTTCATCAAGTCCTTGTGCTCCTTCATCCTTCTGCTAGCCTTTCTTTTCCTGCCAGCATAAAATCTAAATCCCTCCTGGTCATTCTACCAGCTGCCATGGTATTTGCTTAGCTTTTTATTTTTGACTCAGTTTAACAATTAGGGAAGGGCCTGTGATAGTTTCTCTAGGGCTGCTCTGCCTTTGTTCAGGCTATGCCTCCCTTGGGCCTTCTTTTCCTCTGCCCCTGACCCCAGCCCAATCTGGAGGCCCTGGTTGCTCTATAAGCCACAAAGCACCAAGTCCACTGAGCAGTCTCCCCATTCCTCACTCAAATCTCACTCAATACTGTGCCATCAGGGCCTCCCTGGTGGCACAAGGGGTTAAGCACTGCACTATGAAGCAATCCACAGCCTCTGCAGCATGAGTTCCACCCCCGGCCAGCCAGGGAGCTACCTACATGACGCAGCAGACCTCTCCTGACTCGCCCGCTGCTCCCCTCAGCAGTGTATTTCAGTCAGTCTGCCTGTTCTGTTCCCCACTCTCTCTGGTGAATCTTCTCAGCCCCCCAGACCTCTGGCCTGCACCCCAGCTCTTGTATGCATAAATAAATCTTAAAAAAAAAAAAGTCTGTGCCATCAGACATTCACTTCACCTGTAGAAGAATAATTATCAAGTAACCATCCCACAGCAAACCCTGGATGCTTGCTGGGGAGACCGAGGCAATTAAAACAGCGCATTCCTTTTACAGCTTGATCACAGCACTTCCCCTACTGCAAGACTCTGTTCTCTTTAATGTCCTACCAGCCATGCTCACAGTAGGCACTCAGTGGCTATTTACTGAACAAGTACTACGTGGTAAGCTGAGCACTTACTGTGTATTAGACACTCTCTTCCATAATGGCTACATGGCCTCATGAGGCAGGGGCAGGGTGGTGGATTACACGGGGTAGAAAATTCTTGACACTTCTCCCTTTGAGAAGTGGCATCTATTGTTCCTCCCCTGGAAGCCAGCTGGCCTAAAACTGCTTTGACAAAAACATGGGCAGAAGTGACCCTATGTCAGCTCTATGGGCTTTAGGAGGATCAGCGGTTTCTGCAGCAGTGCTGTGAAGCCTGGAGCCACTGGGTCTGAAGTACACAAGTCCCTGTGGGGAAGACCATGGTGGAGAGACACTGAGACCACGTTAGAGGGAGAGGAGCCCCGCTGAGCACCCTTTTCAGCCATCTGCCCAAGGTGGGAGACAGGTGAGTGAGGCCATATTGGAGCCTCCAGACTAGTCGAGCTGGCAGTTAATGCCACTGACTGACCCCAATCAATAGCATGTGGGGCAAAAATAAAAAAAACTCAGCCCTGCTGAGCACCTCCTGAACTTCTGACTCTGTATAAAATCAACTGGTGGTTTAAGCCTTTAAGTTTTGGAGTAGTCTCTTATGAAGCAGGAGATAATCAAAACTGGAAATAACTATTGTTTGCTCCGTTTTAGATATAAAGAAATATAAGGTCTAGGTCCACAGTTAGTGAGCACTAAGGTGGGCTTTGCACAGAGGATGTGACTGTGCTCTGAACAAGTCACTACTGTGACCAAACCATTGCTTATGCCCACTGAACACCAGGATCAGACTTCCTCAAAGGAGACAAGAGGTTTGACCTACTATTTCCTCCTATGAGTTCCCACTTACCTCCTCTGGTGTGTAGGGTCTCTATAAGTATTTTCTGAATGACATTTTTTCCTTGCTGGGTTGATATGGAAAGCAGATGTATATGAAAATAAAAGGTATATGTATGTGTTTTTTTTGGGGGGTAGCTTTTGTAGCTTTGAATGGCAGACACTCTGCTGTGTGCCCTCACATGCTATTTTACTGACTTCTTAAGCTGAAAGATATGAATTCTTATACCAGTTTATAGATGGGAAATCAAGGTTCAGGAATGTTCTAGAACCTGCCTGGTTAGTAAGTTTGCAAGCCAAGGTAGGAATTCAGGTCCACCTGACTCTGAAGTTCCTATTCTGCCTATCTCACTGAGGTGTGACTTGCAAGTCTACCTGCCAGACTTGTTATTTATCCCTTTTAAAATGCCCCTTGTTAGCTTTGTGCCATCAACCAGTTACAGTCAATATTAAGATTCAGAATTCTGGTTGTGTTAGCCACACTCCCCCCCCCACCCCAGTGTTTTAGGCTACCTTTACGTGCACAGAACTCTGGGGTCACTGACAAAGACTACCTCAAACATTTCACGTGGGTCTTGAAGAATAAGTAGGACCAAGGAGCAAAGAGAGCAACTCTGCAGAGAGCTGTGTAATAGCATATGCAAAGGCACAGGGACACAAAAGGACTGAGGACTTGGAGGAGGCTGCTAATCACAGACATATGTACACTCTCATCCATGTATTGAACATGAAATGTGTATGTAATTATGTTATATATATGTAGACATATGCATAAATGGTGTATATGAGTTTATGCCAACATGTTACAATGGTTACTATTGGCAGTAGATATGGATCATTTCCTTTTCATGCTTAAGCATTCCCATTTCCTAACTGTTCTACAATAAACATTGATTTTCTTGAAAAATAAAGATGAAAGCCAATGAAGCTCCATGTGTCTTGAGTGATGGATGTGCAAGGACAGAGGACCAAAAAGGCAGGTGAGAAGCAGTTGATGAGGCAAGGGAGTCAAGCTGGGATCATGTTCTCATGCATCTCAAACTATCAGGAAAATTTCCCTGCTGCTCCTCCTCTACGTTCCTTTCTTTCAAAAAAACAAAACACGGTTCTTGTATAAAATAAATAAAAACAAAACAAAACAAAAACCACACAAAAAACCCTGAAGAATCATCCACTTTGAATCTTAAGTGAGAAAAATGAACATCTAAGTAGAGGGAGTGGCCATTGTGTTCCATGCAGAGAATTAGAACCATCGACTCTTTGCTGGTTTCTTTTGGCCACATGCAGTCATTCAATAAGCACATTGGACATAATGGAGATCTGATTAGGCTCCTCCGGGTGAGCTGACATACAATTATCTGACTGCACTGATGAGAGCAAAGGAGGCACATAGGGAAAGTCACACATGGTTTTAAAGGCTGTCCACTGAAACATAGTCATTAAGACACTGAAAGGGGCGGAGGGTGGGACATGTCTCGGAGAAATTTGCTGTTGGCAAAGTGATTCTACAGGTTTAAAATGGCACAAAGGATGCTGATTTCTCTCACCGAGCTCCAGAAGCTCAATGTATGACTATCAGTTATATGCCACGCAGAGTCGGCCGGCTGTGCTTTCTGTGTTTAGATTAATTTCACTTCCTTAGACGTGGTATGAGCTCTGTCCTCTCCACTGATAATGAGCAGGGATTTGAGGAAATCAAATCTATGTTTCCCACTAGTTTAAGAGATAGGGTAGAAGATGAAGAAGCGCCGGCCTTGGACACTTCATCTTCAGTTAGAGGGAAAGGCTGTGCTCCCCAAAGTCCGTACTGCTTATCTCAGAGTGGTAGGATTATGGGTAAATCTCATTTTCATCTCTGTATTTTTCCGCATTTTCTCTAGTGACTTTGTATGGCTTTTGTAATCATAAAAATTATTTCCATTTTATGAAAGTAGTGGCTGAGCAGAGGGGAGGAGAATGGTGACAGGACTGAGCTGAAGAAAGCAATCTCCAGGTTGGAAGAAGGGAGAGGCAGAGGGATCCAGGAGAGAGTGGAAGAAGGTGGCTGTGGTGCAGGGGCCAGCACTGCCCACAGAATCAGGGCTCACGTCTTAGCCGTGCATCAGGAGCCTGTGTCTCTGGAGCTAGTCACCTACCCTCTCTGATTCTCAGCTTCTGAGACTCCCGAATAATAATAATCCCACTTCTTGAAGATGTGAGGACATCACATGATGAGGATGAAAGCCGTGTAACCAAAAGTGGATGTACCAGTGTTAGGGATTATTTGGCCTTTAGGTATAAAGGGGCTAGGACAGCAAGGGTGGATGGGCAGAAAGAGTGGAGGGGAGAATGGAGGATAAGGGAGGAGCAGGACGGAAAGAGTATTCACTGAGCACCCAGCACAGGCCAGGCAGGCCCTCCCAGGCATAAGGTGACCAAACAAAGGGACAAGCAGAGGCACAGGCCCAAATCAAACACTGACCTGGTCCTCTCTCTGCCACATCCCTGTGCCAGACACACACACACACACACACACACACACACACAGGCTCTCATCTCCTTCTGCAACAGCCCTCCCCACTGTGTACACAAGGAAAGTGGCTACAGTGGGGTTAGCCACTTGACCAAAGTCATACCTTGTAGGCCGTAGGGAGCCCTGGAGGGTGGGCTGGAATCCCAAGCCCAAGCTCTTTGTCCTGTGTCCCACCGCCCCTCTCTCTGGCAGCCTGTGCACCAGGCCCAACTTCCCTGGTCAAGTGGGCACACAGGGTGCCAGTAGAACCCAGGGTCCCCCCACCGCCCCCTGCCCTCCAGCTCGCACCGCACCTGGTCTCCAGCGGGATGTTGCTGTTGAGCAGCCAGTTGTCCTGGGCGTGGGCCGGCTCCGGGGCTCCACCGGCGGGGGGCTCTCCGGAGAGCGAGGGGTCGGTGGGGGCCGGGCTGGGGTTGCTCCTCGGGGTGAAGTTGCCCCGGTTCAGGGAGTTAATGGAGGCCGCGTGGTGCTGGCTGGGGGTGTGGGCGTGTGAGAGCGGTGGCGGCGGGGTCCGGAGCCGCGAGTGGTTCTGCAGGCCGCCCAGGTGATCTAGGGCACAGACATGGGTCAGCTGGCGCGCCAGGCCAGGCCAGCGCGGGCCCTGCCGGGTCACACACAGTACACATTCAAGGAGATTCGGCACAGGTATTTACTGAGCACCTCTTATTCTAGGGGCTGGGCATACATCAATGAATAAACAGACAAAATTTCCTGTCCCCTTTGAGCACAGATTCTAGTAAAAGAGAGACAATAAATAAGATTTTTAAAGACTAGCCACCCGAGTCACCAACTGCACTCTTTCTGATACATTGGGGAGGTAGGTTCCAGTGTGCCTGAGACTGGCAGCTCCACAGCACTTGGGAATTGGTTAGAAATTAAAAATCTCCAGCCCTGCCACAGGCTTACTGAATCTTACATCTTCGGCTGGCCCAGCAATCTGGTTTCACAAACTCTCCAGGTAATTCTGATGGATGCTAAAATTTGAGAACCACTATATATATATATAACGATACATAATAAACGAAACAAACAAGGTAAGTAAAATACCTACTTTACTGAGATGGCGATAAATCTGAGAATGCATAAAGCCAGGAAGAGGCTTACGGCCTGTGGATGTAGGGGCAGTGGTGAAGTTTTAGCTCAGGGAGAAGGTGACTTGTGTCCAAGGCATGAGCCATGCTGTATGGGACAGGATTAAACACAACAGTGTGCTGGGCACTGTCCCCAGCCCTCTCTGTGTGTCAGTCAGCTATTGCTCACAACCCACTGCAGAGTGGGTCCTGTTTTTAACCCCATTTTACAGATGAAGGAATTCAGATAAATTTTATGCACTCCCTTCAACTATATGGAGTTAACAGGTATTATTTGTCACCAAATTTATAGAAGAAAAACTGAGATAAGGTAAGTTGCCCAAGGGCACAAGGCTAAATGGATGTTACATATTTACAAAGAGAGTCAAGTTTTCAGGGATGACATAAATCAGACAAGCCCTGTGGGTAAATATGAACGACCATTCACCCTAAACTATGCTCATTGAGATTCTCGGTTTTCGGCATGGAGGAAATGATAGGGGTGAAGAAGTCAGGAAACTGGATTCTGTTCTAAATTCATTAACTACATGGTCATTCGTACATGCTGTGTTGGTGCTCATCCTCCAAGCCCAACCCCTCAGTGTGATGGGATTTGGAGGTTGGGTCTTGGGAGATAGGTTTAGATGAGGACAGAAGATTGGGGTCCTCATGATGGGATTAGTGCCTTTCTAAGAAGAGACAAGAGAGTTAGTTTGTGCGCTCCTCCACGTGAGGACACAGCAAGAAGCCAGCCATCTGCAAACTAGGAAGAGGGTTCTTCCTGGAAACCAAATCCACTGGCACCCTGACCTTGGCCAAACTTTCGGCCTCCGGAACTGTGAGAAATAAATGTTTGTTGTTTTAAGTCACCCAGTCTATGGTAGTTTGCTTTAGCAATCCAAACTGACTAAGACAGAAATTGGTATTTAAAAATGTGATGCTGTAACAAATACCTAAAATGTGAAAGCAGCCTTGGAACTGGGTAACGGGTAGAGTCTGGAAGAGTTTTGAGGCCCTGGCTAGAAAAAAGACTTTATTGCTGTGAAGCGGCTTTTTAAGGTGATTCTGGTGAGATCTCAGAAAGAGAAATGTGAGAGAAAGCTTCCATCATAGAGATTACATAAATAATTATGTACAGAATGCAGGTAGAGGTGTGGACATTAAAGACAATTCTGATGAGGTCTCAGGCAAAAACGAGGACCTTATTACTGGGCAGTGGAGAAAAGGTCATCTTTCTTATAAAGTGGCAATGAACTTAGCTGAACTGTGTGTGTTCCAGTGTTTTGTGGAAGACAGAACTTGGGAGTGTTGAAATTGGATAGTTAGCTGAGAAGACTTCTGAGCCAAGTGTTGAAGGAGCCTCTTGCTTCCTATTGATGCTTATAATAAAATGTGAGAGGAGAGAAATGAACTGAAGAAGGAATTGTTAAGCTCCAAGAAACCATAACTTAAAGATTTGAAAAATTCTCATCTGTCCATATAGCATAAAAATATGAAAGCATGTATGAAAGAATACACCAATGGTGGGGGTGGCAGACCGTTTGCTAAATGACTAATACAGAGGTGAACCCTGGACCTAATTAACCACCCCAGAAGGAAACACTATCAGTTTGAACTGAAGAGGACAGAGATGGAATGGAAGAGGACAGTCATAGTTCTTCGAATTGACAGGACGGGACAATAAAGCTATTTAGCCTTAAACTTCTTCAAGAAAAGGAAAGGCTAGTTGGAAGGTGATTCAGAGATCATCATTGCCATAGTTTTGGTTTCAAACAGCCCAAGACAACCATGGAGATGTCAATTAACCTTAGTTTTTCATCTGTAAAATGGGAGGGCGGTTTATTTAGGGAGTCACAGAACCACAATGATTTCAAATGAGGCCATCAGAGGCAAGGACCTTTTTTTTGAAATTCAGTTTTCAAAGTATTCTGCTTTATTTGTTCCTCAGGAGGATCCTGCATTGCACAGAGGAGACTTTTAGTCAATGAGAATGGGATTCAAACCAGGGTGGGTGTGATATTCTAAAGGCTGTGCTCTTCCTGGGCTCAAGTGATGGCTTTCTGGAAATCATCAAGCACAATCAAGTGTGAGGCACTATCGGTGTTACGGCTATTTTTAGTGGAAGATGTACCACTATCTGCCTTTTAAGCATCTTTTATGCCAAAGAGTTATAAAGCAGTCTGCTGGGGTGGGGGGCGGGGGGACTGGTAGCAGAAGGTAAAAGGAAACAGACCTCCACCTGGTGGATCACTTCCTTCTCACCCACACATGGCCTACCAAGCCCTTCAGAATTTGACCCACACCTGTATTTCCAGTCTCATCTCATCAGTTCCCCCCTAGTGCCCTCCATTCCTGCCACACTTTCTCCCCAGAGGCTGAGATCTGCTGAGCCAGCTCAGTGACTGAGACTCAACTCCAGTGAGGATGGTTCCCAGGAAGGCCACAGATGAGAATGGCACCCTCTGAAGATGTGCCGTGCTTTGGTACCAGACCAGAAGGAAACCAGCAGGGATGCCCCCTGATGGGAGGCAGGGAACCTGGGAACCAGCAGAAGCTACCCAGGCAGAGTCAGAGAGCAGACAGCCTTAGACCAAGAGGGGAGACTGTGCAAGTTGTTTGTTTTCTCCAGCTGCCACTAGGCAGCATTTTATTTATTTTTATTTTTTAAAATTTTATTTTTATATTTTTACATCATTTTTCATTTTTGCACAATGTATGTGTTTTCATCTTGGTTATAGTCCCCATACAATTCCCACCCCTCCCCCCCTTGTTGTGATCCTGTTCCCTTCTCCCCCTCCCCCACCTCCCTGTAGTGTGGAAGGGATCATGCTCAGCGAAATAAGCCAGAAAGAAAAAGAAAAATACTGGATAGTCTCACTCATAGCAGGTATTTAGAAAACCTAAATAAGGGACCAGGACAAAGAGTAATTATAATAAGGTAAAAATCAAAATCAACAAGCAACTATAAATCAGGCAGCATTTTATTTATTTATTTTTACAAATGTATTTATTTTTATTTTATTTTATTTTTTTTTTCATTCTCTAGATGGCTTTATTCAGTATATACCTTCAGTTTAATTTCAGATTTGGAAATGCATTTTTTTTAATGATTCCTCAGTACTTTATTTTTTATTTTTTTAAAATAAATTTTATTTTTATATTCCCCATACAACTGCAATCCCCTTATTTTGACCCCAGTCCCTCCCCTCCCAACCCCCCCACCCCTCATAGAGTGTCTCTGGTTCATAGTTTTTTGTTGATTTTGATTTTCACTTTCTTATAGTTATTCATTTTCCTGGTCCCTTATTTGAGTTTTCTAGATTCCTGCTATGCGTGAGATCATCCAGTATTTTTCTTTTTCTTTCTGGCTTATTTCGCTGAGCATGATCCCTTCCAGCGCCATCCATGTTGCTCAGGCAGCATTTTAAAGGAGGCATTTGGAGCTTGGGACTGAAGCCAGAAGCAGAGCTTTGCCCTGGGCTGGCTCAGTGTCACCCCAACCCTCGGCCTATGAGGCTGCTGGCTGCAGTCCAGGGCCCCAGAACGGTGAGTTACTGGATCACCACTGTCCAGTGGTTATCAGGAGCTCAGCAGAGAAGGGTGACCAAGCACTCCCCATGGAATTTTACCTAATTGATATTAATAGTTGCTGCCATGTATTTGAGCACCTACTAAGTGTACTTTCAAAGCCTTAACTTTTCTAATGCTTACATAACCCCTAGAGGGCAGTTTTATCATTCATTTTTTACAGATGAGGAAGCTGGGACTTCCAGAACTAGTGAGCAGTCCTTATTAACCCAAAGCTTGAATTCTGACTTCCAAACCAAGGCTCTGTTGCCTCAGTTCATGGGCAAAGGCAGGAAAAACACCCTGAGTGAAGAGAATGAGCATCTGAGGTCTGGCGCAGGGCGGGTGACTAGCAAGCCTGTCTGCTTTGTGACTACATGGGAAGACCAGGCTCTGGCTTGATAACCATTTACAAGTGCTTGCAAGAGTCCTAAAATGATGAGGTTTTAACATAAACTTCCAAAAAGGAAATTGCCTATGAGGATAAGGAATGTCCTGGTCTAAATCCTCTATTTTTGAAGCTCAGCTCAATTGAAATCTCCTCTAAAAATCTTTCCTTGATATACCCTCAGCAAAGTTTTTCCTCCACTGAATGCGGACAGCAGGTAGCTTGGATCACTCACCTTTTCCTTCTCTACAGTAAGCAAATGACCCCATTTTGCCTCTTCTAGAAGATACAAAACTCCCTTCCTCCTCCCTGCTGGGTAATCACAGAACCAAGCTGATAGTCACTGTAAGTTTATGGTGTGACTAGCACATATGAGAGCCCAGACTGTCCAGGAGGGTGAGGCTTGTAGGGAGGACATGTGTGTGCAGAATATGACGCAGACTGCTCCGCGCTCTTCGGGTGATGGGGCTCTGTAGCCCTTGGCTTACTTGCCTGGAGCCAGAGTTCCAGGGACTTCAGCTGGG